CCATTTGGACTTATGTTGATAACGTTCAATATAGGTTGGCGTAACCTAAGATTGGGTTGAAAATTTTTGGGGGTTTCATTGGGCAAAACTTTAAGGTTTGTCCTCCAAGATCATAGTGTTTATTTGGGTGGGGGGTTTGACAAGGTTTCGTAATTCAGATTCGATCAAGTGAAGGCTTTGAAGAATGAGTGGTTCTTGCAAAGGAGTAGTGTGAGACGGTGAATCGATTGGAAATCTTGGGTGACAATAACTCACAATTTGGATTCAACCATGTGAAAGCTTTGAAGAATGTTGGTTTCTTGCAAAGGAGTGGCGTGAGGCGGTGGATCAAATTAGTATTTTTGGGTGACTTGACCGAGTTCAGATTAAGGGAAGATAAAGGGTTAAAATCAACATCAAACATAGGTTTGTAGGGTTGGATTGCTAAATTTCTCTTGTAATCAACTTTTTGCAAAGTAAGAATTTGATATATCAATTCCAAATGGAATTGGGGCAGTCATAACCATAGCAAGGACGATTGGTGAACTACCTAAACAAATCCTTGTGTCCCATCTCTCTCATTTAATTCTATATAATTTCTATAGCAAATTGTTAAATTTATTGTTTCTATAATCAATATGTATAGATAAATCCTTTGATAGCTATAATTGAAATTGCTTTGATGATTAAATTACATTCAATTAGATTGTAAGTGGTATTTCATATCAACAAAGTTCAAAGGAAAATCTGAAAAATCGATTGCACACCAAGTGTTCGATAACTTTCTAGTTTTTGTTTTATCAATAATTTCATTGGAAATAAGTTTACATAGTGCTCATAATAAAACAATTAATTAAGAATATATTGTATTAATTGTTTATCATTGTTTTGCATTCCATTTGGTTTCTAACGCATGTCTCAGTTTCCAATAGCCGGTTCGGTTTTGAAGCAACTAGAGAAAAATAAACAATGAAGTTGCCATCGAATATTTATATATCCCATTGAAGGGAAAGGAAAACATTGAAGAAAACCTGAAAATGGAGAAATAAAGGTCTTGCGACCAAGAGAACAAGTACGAGAGTTGATTACGCAAGGGGAAGGTATTAGCATCCCTCGCGTCCGTGTTACTCTATGGGATCCACTCTTGTTGTTTTAATCAAAGGGTGTGTTAAACTAAAGCTAATCAACTAAGGGAAAATGCATGAATGCAAAGTGTAACAGCCCAAGCCTTCAGCGTTCCCGACACTATTACCTCATGATCTTCTCTACCCCTCTCACTAGTAGAGTTTTTGCCTCTCGTGGGAATCGAACCTTATACCCTGGGGTTCATGTACATGCTCAATGCATTCCCACTACCAATTTAGCTACGTAGCTCAATTGGTAGTGGGAATGCATTGAGCATGTACTTGAACCCTAGGGTACATGGTTCGATTCCCACGAAAGGCAAAAACTCTACTAGTGAGGGGGTAGAGAAGATCGTGAGGTAATAGTACCGGGAACGCTGAAGGCTCGGGCTGTTACATAAAGTATATACAAAAAGAAAAGTTTTTATTAGTTGTGTCTGCCACGGTTGCGAACCTTTGTGCCTATGTCCCACCTTTTGTGCAACAGGGGATCAGGGCACTTGTAGTTCACCTAAAAGGTGTTTTAGTTTTTTTGTTGTGTTTTTTAGGTGGATAATGTTACATTCGCACTCTAGAAGTTGACATATTACAACCCGACCTTTGGGGAATCACATGTCATATTGCACAGAGTGGAAATAACACATCCTTTTTGTGAAAATATTTTCAAAAGAAAAGCGCGAAGGCAAAAAAAGAGTTTGAATTTGTTTGTATTTTTTACCTTGAAAAAGAATTTGTGATTTGAACCACATTTAAAGACTATGATTGAGAGAAGCACAGGGTTCAAGAATGTGCCCCATTATACTTCCCTAATACTTAAGGCCCGTGACACATGGTTAGCCTCTTTATTATTAAGTGTTTTTGAGATTTTGATAAATAAAAGAAGTTTTAGTTTTAAAGATGCAAAAGGGGAATAAAAAAAGTCTAAGAGATACTAGAGATCCTAATGTTGTCACACAATGGTAGTCCAAAGGTTAGTATGAAAGGGAAATATCTACCTAAGTTAGCATGCAAATATGGACTTAAGGTTAAGGTTAAAGGGAACTACCTAATGTTGTCATATTTAGTTTAGAACCTAAGGTCTATTTAGTTCACATCTTAAAGAAAATGAAGCTAAAATCCTAAGGGAACATGTTATCACAAGCAAATAACAAATAAACAAACATGATTATAAACCTCAAAAGATATGGCTCAAGAACCAAGCAAACACCTAAGTCCAAGAACCAAACATCACTCAACAAGTACAAACCAACAAGAGCCTAAACTCTAACATACTTAAAGTAATCAATCACTAAGTAAGAATGTGTCTAAATAAAGACTCAACACATACACTAAGGTCCCCTAATGGTCATTCTCAAATGATTCTACCCTAAGGCATTACAAACCAAACATAAGCAGTCAACAAACACACAAGCACTTAAGGCTTTAAGTGTCAAACAAATGTCAAGACTTAGTAAGAAAAGATGGAGTGAAGCAATAAAAGTAGATACCTCTACAAGTCAGCAAGTATACCTCAGGAGGTTCATACAAATGTTTCTCAAAGATGGGAGAAAGATCGCATACAGAAGACAAACCAAACAAGTACTTTGGCAAGAAGAAAGGCAAGCAAGCAATGATTGACTTAACCAAAGAAGGCATGTTATGAAATTATATCAAACAACTCAAAGCTACTTACCCTAACATGTTATATGCTTAAACAATCTATAAACAAGGCATCATAGGTCAAAGGAAAGATGAAATCACTAAACTAGGCAAGCGGAAGTGTAATTAACAATTTAGAAGACAAGATGTTAAAAAATGTTAAAAGTATCAAGAAAATGAGAGGAAATAATGGATACATAGACCTAAACATGATTTATGATATCCTAAATTATCACCAAGAGGTCACATGTTGACAAACATCACCTAACTAAAACAAACATGCATGGTGAAGGAAGATGAAACTCAAACAAGTGGCAAGAATTGACCTAAGTCCAAGACAAGTGGAAATCATACAAAGGGAAGCCACATTCCATAAAGGTAAGCATAATGGCATATCAAGATGTTCCCTAAGGGTTATGCACAAGAGTTAAGTACTTAAAAGTCACAAGAGAAGTCATACATGTGAACATACTAGCTAGTGAAGACTTATGTGTCAAGTACTTAATCTATCATGGCATAGGGAGGTGAAGTGAAGTGAAAGAAGATTAAGAAGTGTATAGGTCAGTAGCAAACACATCAAGATCTTATCATCATTATACAAGCAAGATTCAGAAAGAATCACAATCAAATCATACAAGAAAAGACAACCACATAGCCCTAAGTGGACATAAGTCCTCATGCAGTGCTAACAAGTAAAACAAATTGGAAAAGAAGGGACATATGACAAAAGAGAGGCAAGCATGAACATGTTATTCAATTAGAACAAATCTCATGATCAATAAGAAGTCTAATTAGCCATTGAAATCATGGTATAAGCATCAAATCATATAGGCATCAAGCAAAGGCGTGTAGTGAAGTGAATACAAGTGTATGAACAATTAGGCATATCATCACAAGGCAAGCAATGTAACAATATCAAAGCGATGGTAAAAACCATAAGTAAGTCTCACACACTTAACAAAGCATCAAGACAACAATTGCATAAGTTCACTCACATAAAATCATTGCCTACATCAAGGTAGGTCTTCCAGTAATTCGAAATTTCCTACTTCGAGGTAGGTCTTTAAACAATCAGAAATTGCCTACTTCAAGGTAAGACTTTAAACCAAATAGAAATTGCCTACTTCGAAGTAGGTCTTTAAACCAAATAGAAATTGTCTACTTCGAGGTAGGTTTTTAAACAATCATAAATCACCTATTTCGAGGCAGGTCTTTAAACAAAACAGAAATCGCCTACTTCGAGGTAGGTCTTTAAACAATCATAAATTGCCTACTTCGAGGTAGGATTTTAAATCAAACAGAAATTTCCTACTTCATGGTAGGACTTTAAATGCAACTACATTATGCCACAAACATGGTTTCGCAATGCCTATAGGGATAAGTTTTCAGTCATGCATCTCTATCCTACTTTTCACGGCAAGATCAATTGAAAATTATGCGAGAATGAGATAGTACAAAAATCTCAAGGAATACCAAACAGAAGAGGTATGTTGTCTCTTTAAAGTGTACAAAAGAAACTCAAGAAATATGTTAGAAGCATACAAATAGCCAACACTTGACAATAATTAGATGAGAATCAAGGCTTCAATGAAATAAGAAATAAAAAAAAATCCAAGTCCAAGTGCAATAATAAATCCATGCTAAGAAATGCAAGTCAAGTTTTCATAAGATCCCAAAGTGGAGCAAGGTCACGAGTGAACATAGGAAGTGAACAAAAGAAATGAACCATTAATCGATTAATGAAGATAAACTGAAAAGGAGTTAGTAACAATAATTAATCATGAGAGGTAAAGGAAATTAACTTCTCAATTAAATCCTAAAGAAAAAAACTATTATTATTCTAATGTTTTTTACTATCTCTTGTTGTCTCCTATCACTAATTATTACTAATCAAAAACATATGCATAGAAAAAATAATAAAAGAAAATCTAAAAAAACTTTCTAAACAAAGGGAAGGTGGAATTGAAATAGGGAGGATGATTAGTAGCAAAGGCCTTGGGCACTAAGGCCCAATCTAAAGTTCCAAAAGCTAGTTTATTTGTGAATAATAAAAAAATAGTATAGTTGAAAGAGGGATTAGGGTTGAAAGAGAAAAGACGATTAGGCTTCATCACATCTTCATCTTGCGTACAACGATGTTGTGACCAGTCCTTCTTCCTCTTCTCCGCCGCTCACCGCTCGAGCTTCGCCGATTCTCCCTTTCTCATCTACATCCATCACCTCGCCTCTGCTTCGTTCTTCTCCGACCCGACACTTCCGTCATGGATTCAATTTCGATTCAACCTTCGAAACTTCCGATATGCTTAGCTGGATTTCTGATTTTGTGAAATTTCTTTCTGATTTTCTTTTTTTTCTGGTTGAATGATATGCAGGGCAATTTATGTGTACATGCTGACTTTTCTGTTTTTTTACCCGATGCATCTTGTATAATTTCCCTAAAATGTAATGAAATGGTCCCTTTTCTTCAAATTCTATTTGAAATGCCTTTCCCTCCATATACTTCAAAACAAAATTCCAAGGCTTTTTCAATTTACTACCTCTTTCAATTCTTGTGATCTTGGCATGAAACACGAAAAAGATAAATTGGATGTATGGTGAACGCCTTTGTGACTTTGAATTATTTCTTTGAAAATGTAACCTCCTACCCAAGCAATTCACATAAATCACTCAAACTTGTATGAACCCAAACTTGGCATTATGAATAATTATGTGCTCTTGAGTGATTTGAACTCATGGTATCAAGTAATCACTAATGAATCCTAACTCTCAATTTAAATCTCTAATCCAATTTCCAATCTCAAACTTAAATCAACGCGCATCCAATGAATGGGGGAAACCAAATGCCTTAATCACAATTCCCTCCCTTATACCATGATTCATTCTTATAACTCAATCAAAACCCCTGTCTTGTCGAGTAATACCTTTGAGGAATTTTGTGGAAGATAAGTCTTGAAGTATGAATTTAATAAACTCCAATTGAAATGCAAAGCTAACAAGCTCAAACACCATGAATAAGAAAACTCTAATTTCACATTTCACTGCTTGAAGAAGAACTAGGAGAAATAGCTTTTATTGAATATATACACCTCAATCACTGTGAAACCCTAATATTGCTCACCCACTAAACTCTTAAACCTCAAGTACTTTATTGAATGAAATGCATGATATGTAGATGTCCTAATGAAAGGATGTAAATTAATGCGAAGCAAATAAAAGAGAAGATAGGAGGATAAATTTTGGAGTGCAACAAGTTTAGACAACTTGTTTGATCTAGGCTTAATCTTCCGCTTGCCATAGTTCTTTATTCATTTTTCAAAACAAAATTTTAAAAAGTAATTTTTATTTTGGGGATCTATTCGCCCTCTCTCTAGATAAGTTGTCATCGTCTAACATAGGGGTGGAAATAAACTAGGTCGGGCTAGACTTTGTCAAGCCAGCGATTGACCGACTAAAAAATTTAAAGCCTAAGCATGGCCTGTAGGCTATCATAGATTTATTTTTAGGCCCGGTCATAGCCTTTTCGAAGGCTTGATTGGCATGCTAGACTACTTAAAGACCTGCTTCATTTAAACATTTGTAAATAAGCAATTATTGTTAAATATACCCAAAAATTAAATGATCAATGAGAGTAAATGTTTGTTTTCATTGACTAATTTGAGTTTATCTATTAGCATAAGTATTGTGATACTATTTGTTTGAGAGAATTTATGGAAATAACTTAATACAACAACTTATGATATTGTTTATAAAAAAAATTTCAACTTATTTTCATAAGTTCTTCAAGATAACTAAACTTTATTTTTCGAATTTTAATTCAAAGTACAATATATAATATAATAATAATAACAAATATATTGATGTTTATTTAAGTAAGTCAGTCTGATAGGCTTATAAGGCCTTTTTTATGGCACATGGTCTAGTCTTTTTAGCTAAATAGGCTTATAAAAAAACACATGCTTTTTCTATTTAAAAAATATCCAGGTCTGGCCTGAGCCCGTGTAGTCTAGACTGTAGCCCCCTATTAGTTGGCTTGGCCTATTTCCACCCCTACTGGTGAACTAAACTTCGCCTAAAAATTAGCTAGCATCTGAGACTTGATACTCCCTCTAGGAATATATTGGATATCATACCCATATAACTCAATTTTCCAATATACCATTCTTCTTACAAGATCCAGATTCTTCAGAACTTGTCGAGTAAGATAGTTGGTTTTTTCAGTGACATTATGCCCTTTGAAGTAGGGTATGAGCTTCCTCACAATTATCAGAACCTCCAAGGTAAGACTCTTGATCTTCTGGTGCTTGCCCTTGGTGCCTTTGAACATGTGCTGACAAAATAAACATGATGATCAACTTTGTTGAATCTTTCAATGTATGCTCGGAGAGACTCATCCTTCCCCTGGATGATGGACTCCAGTGATGCTTCTGACTTGGGGTGTTGACGATAAGTCATAAAGTGCCTGGAGAATTGTTTCCCCAGGTTCTTCCAAGACGTGATTGATTCGTTGGGGAGGCTTTTGTACCAAGCCATGTCTCTCTTTCTGAGTGTGGAAGGGAAGAGGCGACATTTGATCGCTCCTCAGACATCTCTATAGTCGAGTAAGGCATCGATGTTTTTGATATACTCATCGGGGTCAATAGTTCTATCGTGCGTTCCCAGTCATGGGGGTTTCTCGAACCCAACGGGTAGGGGAATCTCCATGATTTCTCTAGATAAAGGACCTCAAGGATCATTGTTGTCGCTTCGATCAGGGGATGAGGTTGGAGAGTAATAGTTGCTTCTCGCCATGGGCTATTATCCCGATGGAGAGACATGCTCCTCTGAATGCGCCTTGGTCTGGGTGATGGTGAACGGTCGTTGTCGGGATGTTGATCACCTTTCGTCTTCTTGGTGACCAAGGAGCGTCGCTCTTTATGGGGAGTCGTGCGACCTCGTTTCTTTAGGAAAGAAACCTCTTGCTTCTCCCGCATGGGAAGACGGCCCCGCCTTAGCGGTGATGAATTGCGGGAGTCATGAGGTCAATGTCTCCGAGGAAGGTACTTCGACTGCTTCTTTTCCCAAGCCCTAATCATTTCGCTCTATTGTTGGATTAGAGCATTGGTTTGGTTAAGTTTAGCGAGCAGAGATGCCATGGTGGGGGTCGACATTGGGTGGAATTGGAATTGGATTAAGGATTGTTGACAGTTCCTCGGTGTCATCATGATTGGTGTCGATCGAGTCAGGGGACGCGATTCAGCCATCTCTAATGTCAGATATATCCTTGAGATGAAGAGGATCTTCATTTCCGTCCATCTTGTGGACGGGGGAGAGCATAACCTTTCAAGAAAAATGGTTGTCATCATGGTTGGCCATGATAGAAGTCTTTGAATGTTGCTTTGATCTTTAGTTTCGAGGAAAGAAAGATGGGGAGAACGAAGTTCTCACAGACGACACCACTAATCTTACCGGTTGATCAAAACCAAAAGTGGGCCGAGAAGATGACGTCTGATTGATTGGAAATTGAGGAGACGAGGGGGTGTACCTACAAGGCACTTCGACGCTCAAGTAAGAAAGAGTGAAAAGAGATACAATAAAGAGATTAGGATTTTTATAGTGAATATTGGATATCTGGCCCTCACAAGTGTGAGGATTTATATAGTGCCCCAAAAATTTGGCCGTTGGTTCCTATTTTTTGGTCTAGATATTAGGTTCCTAAAAAATAGGTAATTGTCATGACTTAGTCAAAATAGGTAGTCATGCTCGTAACTAGTTTTTGCACTGAGCAAGGAAGAGATTATGGGCAGATGTGTTATGGGTGTTTCCTGGTTGTCTGCTCCATGCGTGTCGAGAAGACCTGAGGGTAGCTGCCAATGCGAGCAGACATATGGCTCAGGGCATCGTTGATCTCTCTGTTCCTGAGGTGTAGTCGAACAAGTGTGCCCGACTGAAGGGTCAGAGCTAGTGGGCCAAAGTTGTTAGGCCATGTTGAAGGTAGAAGCGGCGATTACAAAAAAAAAGTCATAAATGTTGACCATTTCTGTTTACACATTGTATTGTTTATAACTTTTGTTTATGTTTTCTAATTTTCTGGTTTGTTTTTTGTTCAGGGTTAATTTTGGATATGCATATCTGGAGAAACCCCATTTTAATTTTTAAAAAATACCAGGAAACTTTTTGAATATGCCTATTCGAATAAACTTTTTTCGTAAAATAATAGGGCTTATTCGGATATGAATCTTTGAAAATTACTCTGATGACATGATAAGGTTTCTAAGGTCCAAAGTGATCCAAGCCTTGTATAAATAAGGTGTCTCTCATCTCCATTTTTTCTTCAAAACACCCAATATCATAAATAAATAAATAAATAAATAAATAAATACATATCCCCATATTGTTTTTGTGTATTTCAATGCTGAGAAGTCGCCACTTCGGTGTAAGGCCTGCGAGGACATAACTCTCACCGACCTGATATCTAAACTGAATTTGCTCTTGCGATATCTAGAAAATCGACGAGTTGTCAAGCTTGAGTATAGTTCACCTTCCTTTGACAGCAATGGGAAGATATTGTTCACCAACTTCAAACTGAAGACAAATGCAACTTTATAGATTATGTGGAGTTCTTTTTGCCCATATCAAACAAAGGGTCTGATTGAAGTGGATGCAAAGATTTCAAGATCCGTCAAAGATATTATCAACATGTTGTAAGGTCTGGAACTACACGTTTATAGTAACGTCTGTGATACGGTGGCAGAACCGACTGTTAATACGGGTTTACATTTTTTGTTTACAAATGTCGCGGTAAGCAAGAGTCGCCATCGACTTTTCTTTTATCCAACAAAGGAAAGGGTGAAAAGAACAGAAAAAGACTTTTTTTTCGAGATTTCCTGAGTAAGGGGGGTAGATTATGGAAAGCGAAGGTAGTAACACCCTTTCTATCCGTGGTTTTCCACGGGCTCTTAGGTACTTGCTCATTTTGAAAATTGTTTGTGTGTTTTGAAATATTTTTGTTTGCTTTATAGTAACTCTTGTATCAGTCCTCAAGAGTGTGATAAAGCGTTTTTTGAAAAGTATTTTGAAAAGTGTGTAAGTGTGAAAGTTTATTTTTTGAGCAAGTACTTAAAAGTCATCTACCTACTCGAAAAAGGACGTTCTTTTCCTCCTTTCCTTTAGATAGAAATACCCTACTATTAGTGAGTAGGTAGCCCTATCGTTAGATGTTAAGGGACTATCGAAAGGGATGCTATTATCATTGAAGGCAACATGTAAAGATATCTTAGCATTTTGAAGGGGTTGTCATCATATAGGCAACATCGAGGGACAAGATCATTTACCTAAAGGCAACTCGGGGGACGTTTAGGGACCATGATCTTTTATGATGACCTTTATACCGAGGGTCTTTGCTAAGATATTCCTACGTTCGAGGGACATGACCATTTCTGAGGCAACCGAGTGAGGAATACCCTAAGGATGCAAGTGTGAGAAGTGTGTTTTTTCAATTATTTATCTTTTGCTTTAAGGTTTGCTAACGTTTGTTTTTAAGTCTTTCCATGCAATCCTAGTTACTAACAGTAATATTGTACAGGAAATGTAAAGTACGAAAAAATAAAAGTAGAAACATAAACCCTAAACTATTACAACGCTTTGGGACAGTTACATAA